TAATCTTCAGTGATTGACTAAGAATACTTAAAAAAAATTTTTTTTAGACAGCAAAAATAAAGCAAAAGATTGAAAAACTGTAACTTTCGTTTAAAACTTTATCAGGTTATCGACAATACAGAAAATATAAAAGATTAGGAAATGAAAAAATCTAATATAAACTGGTAATGTTGCGATTTTAGGACATTCTTAGAAGAAGGTATATGGACCAAATGGTTTTATCCGGTATTTCCGACGCTGCCAGTACCCAATCGTTATTCCTTATTAACAGGTTTGAATTGTATACTATTTACTGTTCGGGTTTCATAAATATTTCATTTTTGAAATTTCTAAAAATCAATGGAATTTGATATTAGATTTACTAATACCAATGTTGACATGAAATATTTACATGTTCAAATAAATTTTTTGACAGTTTTTCTTCTGTGACTTTTACTGCAAATTATAGTAAAAATTTGAACGGTATCTACAAATATTTAAATGTTCACTTAGGTCTTTTCCCCGGTGTTCATGGTTTGGTCGGCGACTATGTATTCAATTCAGCCAGACAGCAGTTATTCCGAAATTTTACCTCTGAATCAGATTTTGATTTATCATGGTGGCCATATGAGCCAATTTTTGTAACCACACAAAAAGTTGGCATTTCAACAGCAGTTTTTTATCTACCTGAATGTGAAGTAAGTTGTCGTTGTTGTTGTTGTTGTCTGTGCATGTTTTTTTCAACTTTATTTTACAAGTTTAATAAGAAGAAACAGATAAAGAAAGAAATTATTTTCACCTAATAATATTAAAAGTTAGGGGAAAAAATACAAACATATATATTTATATATCTAAGGTTTCGTTGATAGGGATCTCAAAAATGTACTCTAATCGTTTTTGTTGTTATTTCTTTCTTTCCTTCGTTTGTTTCTTCATTTCTTTACTTTTCTTTTTTTTTTCTAGTCTGTTTTTAATAGAATTACATTATTTGCGTAAATTTCCTGTGCAAACTACTAACACCTTTAGTGTTAACCATTTTTGTTTTATTAAACCTTAGTAAAATCTAATTTAAACGTCATCTATTTGAGAAAAAAAAAAAGAGAATAATAATAAACATGAAGCTGAGTGTTGTCCAAATATTTTACTGCATAACTAATCGACTGATTAGACCGACTGATCAAATTAGACCAAAAAAAAGGAGCGCTTAGTGAAAAGTATAACTCAATTGGTGATGCGTATGAATTGAATTGAACAATTGAATTACACTGCTATTTATTGTTTCTCTGTTTTTTCCCTATATTTTTTCTACATTTAATATGAAACAAAAACTTTTTCGTTTCAATTTCCTTCAATTCCTTCGCTTTTCTTTTAGGTCTTATGGGATGTAATGCCTTCAATATGTGAATATGATGCCGAAAAATCTGGAAGTAAAATTTTTGAAGAAACCAATGTAATCATTAATGCTGTCAAGTAAGAATCTATCTTTTTTTTCGCTTTCCTTTTATTGTTTTAGCATATCATTTGGTCGTTTCTTCTTTTTTTATTTTGTTTCGTTAACCAAAAAGTTTTTTTTGTAATAAAGAAGGATAATAATTTGCGTAATGATTTTATAGAATATTTGATAAAAATATAACTTTTTGCATACTAATTGTCTTTTTTTTTCAATGTAGCATATGCTTAACCGTTATTCTATCCGGTCAATGTTCTCCAATTTTTTTTTTTTT